ATAAATTAGCCGCTATTCCCAGAGAGTAATAATGTCAGTAAATGAGACCTACCAGTCATGGGGCAGGAAATTAAAGGAATGATGGCCAAAGCTTTAACAAAATCACTAGGGACCATGTACTATCGATTCTAAGAAGACAGATTTATGCTATCCAGAAAATGACATTTGTTTCAAACTAAATGACTGAAACACAAAGCAAACAGTTTGACTCAGTTCAGTAAGAGGAACATTTGCAAATAACTTGGGAGAAAAGATAAACACAGGAAAAAAAAAAAAGAAAACCGGGAACATTCAATAAACAAGAGGGAACTGTTTAAGAACAGCATTGGAAAGAGTGTAAGGTCACTCATAATGATATCACTCAGCTTTACGTTTCACGGGGAGAATGCATTAATCAAAACGCACAATACTGTGATCCAGGGGAAGGGGCAGATAATGGGTTTTTTAATAGTTGATAGAAATATTCTAAAATTAGTGATGATGAGTCCATAGTATTGGGAACATATTAAGACACGTGAAGAATATACTTCAAAGGAGTAGTTGTATGGCCTTTGAATTATATCAATAAAGACATTATTTGAGAAGAAAAAAGAGGGCTTATGATGAATTCAATGCCTCTCTTTCTAAAATCTTTACAAGCAATGTTGGTTATCATTTTGCTAATCATAGTCTGATCCCATGGTTCTCATTGGGACTGACAGAATGAATTCAGATTTGATGGCAATTTACAGCATCAAGCCTGAAAAGAATGGTTACATAGAAAGAGACAGCATAGCCTGTCACTGTGTTAAAAAAAGAACACACCAGAAATGAAATAGTCTCCTTCTAAGTGTATTGTTGATGTCTGAGCACCACATGCCCTATTCTAACTATGCTCTCAGTAATTCTGGTGTCTCCTTTGTGTCATTCCCTCTTTATGAATATCCATTTCTGGGAAGCAAGCTGCTTTACTGCCAGCATGCTCAGGTTTCTGATAGAAATTTCATCATGAAATCTGGCTTATTAACTTCTGTACAAATGGATGCTATCTCACCTTACCCAAGCCTTCACTGCTGCCTCAGAATCTTTTTATTAATGTCTAATTGGCTCTTTAACACATTTTCCATAATGCTCATCTCAAAGCTATTCAAAACTCTTGTCCACTTAACATGACCTCACCACTTCACTCCGCAGAAAGTCAGCATCTTATACCTGTGGAACTGTTCCATGCTTAGACATGTACATTACTCTTTCCTTCTTTTCCCTTTGTCATCAGAAAAGTAAATCCAACTGCATTTGAAATAAACTAGAGAATATATCCAATGTCTCTCTATCTATCTATCTATCTATCTATCTATCTATCTATCTATCTATCTATAATGATAGACAAGTCAGAATGAATATGCTTAATTTTTCTCATCTACACAATTTAATTATGGGAGTGGTGAATTGTAAAGCTGCTTTTAACATAGTTAAGTTCTAATGCTATGGTTTGTTTTGTATCTTTTTCTTTTATTACTTGGGAACCCTTCCTCTCATTCAGTCTTTGTGCACTAAATACAAATGAGAAATAACCACTTTTCTTATTATTATTTTGTGTCAACTCAATTTCCTTTCAGTCTATACATTCTTAAGGCTTCATCTTTTACAAAATTCTCCAACATTTTTGTTGTCTGGGGTTTCTGTCCTGCCCGGTCCCCACAATCATTAAATCCCAAAGAAATCACACATAGGTCTATATTAGTTATAAACTGATTGGCCCATTAGCTCAGGCTTCTTATTAACTCTTATAACTTATATTAGCCCATTATTCTTGTCTATGTGTGTTGAAATAGGAGCGGCCGGGCTTCGTCCCCAAACACCCCGGCCGCTTGGCTAGCTTATGCCCGAAATAACAACACACAAACTGTGTTCATTTAAGAACTGCTTGGCCCATGAACTCTAACCCTTACAGACTAATTCTCGCACCTGGACTAGCCCATTTCTAATGATGGGTGTAAGCACCCCAAGGTGCGCTTACCAGGAAGAGTCTAGCCTCCGTCCATCCTGGTGTCTCTGCTCCAGAGAGCAGACCTGTTGGGTCTCCCCGGGAGCAGAGCAGAGTCTCTTCCTCTTCCGCCCAGAATTCTATTCTGTTTACTCCTCCCATCTATGTTCTAAGCTATGAGGCCAAGCAGTTGGTTTATTGCTTAACCAATGAAATCAACAGATTGATATATGACACTCCCACATCATATGTGAGCCATGTGGCTTGGTACTTTTCTTGGCAAGGCAGTCATATCTTGCTTGCTCTGTGGTTGGGTCATGACTGCAGAATCAAACTTCCCTCTTCCCAGAATTCTCGTTGCCCTACCTCTACTTCCTGCCTAATCAGCGTGCCTATACTTCTTGCCTGGCTACTAGCCAATCAGCGTTTATTTAAAATATAATTGACATGGTACAGACCATTGTCCCACAGCACATTTGTTTTTCTTTTTGCATTCTAGGCAAGCATTCTCCCATAGATCCTGAGCCTCTGAGCTCATGTGACACAATTTTTAAAATTTCTCCATTACTGTCATTATACAAATCAGTATTTTCAGTGGGATTACTTCAAGATACAGATAATATCTGAAGCCTCTGCTAACTGACATTTTTCAAACCTTCTGATTTGGCTTGTGCTTATAGCACTGTCTTAAGGTAGCTGCTGTAAAGATCAAGTGCTATGGAATATTCCTTTGCTTTGTGTGAATATATGTCTCTTTGATTGGTTTAATAAAGAACCTGACTAACCAATAGCTGAACAGAGTAAGGTGAGGCAGGAAAGCCAGACTAAGTAAGAGAACGAAGGAAGGAAGAAGGGTAGAGTCTAGTGTCAACAACCAGATGAAGAGGAAACAGGGGATGAATGTGCCATGCTAATAAAGGTATAGACACATGGCAGAGCATAAATAAGGATTATGGGTTAACCTAAAATGTAAAAGCTAGTTAGCAATAAGCCTGAGCTACTGGCTAAACATTTACAATTAATATAAGCCTCTGTGTGTTTATTTGAGAGCAGTTTCTGGACAGAAAAACTCCGCCAACAATCAAGTGACTTCTCTGTGGTACTTATCTTACAAGCATTATCTTTGACATAAATCATCACTGACTCTGAAAAGCTGACATGGAACTTTCTCTTACTTTCCTTGATCCTCAGTCCTAATGTTTTGTTTCTAGGGTCCTGCTTACTCTTTTTCTCTGATTTTATTCTTCCTCTTTTGTTAACACCTAAAATAAAAGTACTGGTCTTCTACCAGGAGTTCTTTGCACCTTTACTTGTGAAACTTTTATTTGTTGTTTGGGATTTCAGTTGTCATGAAAATCTTTTGGAACAAATGTCTTTCTTTTCTTTCTTTTTTCTATTCTTTTTTTGATTTTTTAAAAAAGATTTGCCTATTTTATGTGGTGTTTTGCCTACATTTATGAGGGTGCCAGGTTCCCTGAACTGAAGTTATAGACAGTTGTGAGATAGCATGTGTGTGCTAAGAATTGAATAAGGTCTTCTAGAAAAGCTGAAAGTGCTCTTAACTGCTGAAGCATCTCTCCAACTCCAATATTTCCTTTTCTTTGTCTGCCTTTCTTTTTCTTTCTCTGTCTCTTTTCCCTCCCTTCCTCCCTCTTTTCTTCCTTCCTTCCTTCCTTCCTTCCTTCCTTCCTTCCTTCCTTCCTTCCTTCCTTCTGTTGTTGTCTTCCTTGTTATTGTCATTTGTGGTATTTTTCAAGAGGTTCTGTTTAGCCCCAGCTGTAATGACACTGCCTTTGCAGACCAGACTGGCCTCCAACTCAGAAATGTGCCTGCCTCCGCCTCCTAGTTCTGCAGGTCATTACACCCTACATAATGTCTTCCTTACGTGCTCTCATCTCTATAAACATGCTATAAACAACAAACGAAATGTCGGTTGAGGTGAGATTTGGTATCAGATACCACAATGAAGTCTGGATTAATTCTATAGGTAGTGGAACTCACTGAGGATTTCTCAACGGGAACCCACTGACTGGTGTACCATTTGGATCAATGACTGGAGGTGATATGATGACCATATTGGTAGAAGAGAGACAAAATGGGCTTGGAAAACGTTTGCGTGACTGATGGTCAGACCCTGGACCAAGTCATCGGTCATGAGGAATGCCAAAGAGGAGGTACAGTTCTTTGACAATGAATTCATATTCATTGAGAATGGGAAAAGGGGGAAATCATATTTCTAGCAATTAAAAGAATAAACATTCTCATTGTTTAATCATAAAAAAATTATGAATAGCCGGGCGGTGGTGGCGCACGCCTTTAATCCCAGCACTCAGGAGGCAGAGGCAGGCGGATCTCTGTGAGTTCGAGACCAGCCTGGTCTACAAGAGCTAGTTCCAGGACAGGCTCCAAAACCAGAGAAACCCTGTCTCGAAAAACCAAAAAAAAAAAAAAAAAAAAAAAAAAAAAAAAAAAAAAAAAAAAAAAAAAAAAAAAAAAAAAAAAAAAAAAAAAAAAAAAAAAAAAAAAAAAAAAGCTTTAACAATTTAAAGATGTATTAAAAACAAGCTGTGTGACTATACTCCAATAATAAGGTAGAAAAAAAAAAGGAAGAGACATGAATTCTCCCTCTGCTTAGTTTTTCTGCCAGTATAAAAATCCATCCAGGACTAGCATTGTCATTCCATGAAGAGGAACCAATAGAGTCAGGAGCAACTCTGTGGTCTGAAAACAGTTTTCATGCTGTGTGGCACACGTCTGAATGCTCTGAAAAACGATTAAGAAATTAATATTCTTATACTTACTGGAGGTTATGATCTAGAAATATGCAGCTCTAAAATGGCTTCAGAGTTTCAAGAATTTTTTTAACCTCACAGCCAAATATCCAACCATACACTGAATTATACTCTAAGTTGCTTCTCCTGTTCCCTTAGTGAATGACGTGGGGGGAAATCCACACCAAGAGATTCCAAAACTTTCACCTTGAGTAGGTCCGAAAAGAGGGAGAGAAGAAAGGCAGCAAACAGCCTTTACTTACACTTTGTCTGTCCCGTAGCTCCTGTAGTCGACTGCCGCGGACACGGCCACGATGAGCGCAGGCATCCCATAGCCCACCAGATAAAAGTACTTCCGGCGGGAATGTTCGCTCTCGAAAACCTCCACCAGCATGATATACAGCTGCACCCCTTCCAGAAACATCCACGTGAAGGCCGCCAAGAAGAAGAAGTGTAAAAGGGCCGCAAACACCGCACAGGCAATCTAGGGAAAGGAACACTGGCTTCAGTTACAGAACCAACACGTAGCCCTATTGCCCTACACAAAGCTAACGTAAGTGACGATCAATCCAGCAATTATAAAATAGGTCTGCAACAGAAAAATCTGGATAAGACTTTTAACGTACAAACACTAAAGTAAATAAAATACAACTGACTTGAAAACTGCCTTTTATCTTAATTACAGTTTATGGCTGACACCACATTAAAATATGGAAAATCATAACATTTATGGGAAAAATTTATTAAGAGCCCAGGGATCATCACTACTGAGATTAGTCTAAAATTTAAAATCTTTATAGTTAAAATTAAAGAATTTTCAGTCTTTAAATCTGAATGTGATTGTGTATACTCGAAACTCCAGGGCTCTGTAAGCTGGGAACAAATTGAAATGAAAATAGTCTGAGCTGGAGAGTAAGACTGTCCCAAAATTTACAAAGAAATGATAGAAGGAAAGAAGTAAGGAAGAACAATAAAGACACAAATAAAAAGAATATTTTAAAATTCGTTTTGTTAAAGATTCTTCTGAGTTTAGACTAATATGTCCATTTTTGCTTTATTATTTTTCGTTTGCAGAGCCGGCACTCAAACTGAAGGCATTAGATAAGGGTTCTGCCACTGAGCTACACTCTCCTCAATCTCTTTGATTATAAATGAAAGAGAAATATTAAAACCAAGGAAAGCAAGTACTTTTAAAATCCAATTACATCAAGTAATGTCATTAATTAATAGTAATCTTCAAATGAGATTGTTATTTATTAAGAATTGCTGACTGTTTATTCCCTGCTTTAGGAATGTCACCACCGCACTGAGGCAAAATTGATCCAGCTAAGATGTAGTACTCATAACCGCAGAGATGGCTGCATGATTAAGAGCTCCTGCTCTCTTGAAGAAGCTACACCTTTGGTTCTCAGCACACACATGGGGCTCACAAACATTTGTAACTCTCGTCCCAGAGGGCCCAATGCCTTCTTCCAGTCTCCATGGGTACCCGACATCCATGTGAAGTACATAAGCAGAGGCAAAGACTCGGGCACATAAAACAAATGAACAACAACAACAAAAAAAAAATGCATCCTTCCAAAAATTCAATGTTGAAGAAATGTTTGCTCTCTCTGACTCTTTTTTTGTTACTGCACTAGATAATAGTCTAGACAATCTGATTTAAATTAAGGGCAGCTATTCATATATTTCTCCCTGAAGTACTAGAAACTTCAGTGAGTCATCTATATGCCTCCCAGTAATAATTTTCATGACTTTGTGCTTGTTATTATGACAGGATGTCCGTACTTAAATCTGTGTCTCCTACCAACAAAGGTCAAGAACCATAAAAATAAACAAACAAACAAAACATAACATTTTGATGGTTTCACTAATTGGTGAGCATGATCTCTGGAGACACAATGAAAGTCTGCTTGCATACTTTAGGAGGATGAAGGAGGAACGAAGAAGTTAAATGTCAGAAAGATTAGAGGGAAATCAGGTTCCAAAAATGATGAGAAATTCAAAACACAGGACACCTAACTCTAAGAAAAGAAGAACATTTTTCTGAGTAGCATTCTCCCTGAATTTTTTGTATCAGTCTCCATTTTATATGTTGTTCGCTGTTTAATGCAATATGCATTGCCTGGTGAAGTTTATCATAACATATTAATATTAACATTGGAGAATTAAAATTCAAGTATGATTTCTACATGAAGGAAATTTTTTAAAAGAGTATTTGCATTGGGGGTTAACTAAAGAATAGAATATTTTACTCAAAAATAACACAATTGTTCATTTGAAAATTTTAAGGCTAGATAGAATCTCAACTATAAATTTTTGGCAGTCATAAAACATTAGTTTGAGGAGGAAAATGTGTACTTTGATTGCTTATTCAAATATCTGCATTTATGAGAAAAGATATCACATTAAGTATATGCTAACCAATTAAAAATATATTCACCATAATTGTATCTTTTGCAATCATTAATCATGAATGCCTAATCACAGCTTTGAATGCGACTGCATTTTATTATATAGTACATCATGCATATGAACACCTACTGGAGAGAAGCATTAAGAGAGTGAATTATTTATTATACCCAAGTCTTCTGAAAACTACAAAAGTTAAGTTTTACTTGTCATTGCAGCTCTGGTCATTAGCATCTTCTAATTTCTGAACAAATGTGTTCTGTGATCACTGATGGTGCAAATGAAGGAAAGCATGGGAACTTTGGAAAGAGTTTTGCAATGTTCTCCTCAAATTAAACATACCTTACCACAGGACCCATTAACTATGTTTTTGTTGTTTATTTGATTTTTTTATAATTACTTAAAGGAGTTGAACGATTATACAAAACAAACAAAAACAAAATAGCAAACAAAAGATTCTGAATGCATTAAAATGCTAATAGCAGCTTTATTCAAAATTGTCAAAAAGTGGAAGCAAACAAAATGCACCTCAATGGTTTACCAGATCCATAAACCGTAGTATATCAACAAAGGAATATTAATCAATGTCAAAAAGGAAAGAGAGATCAGGTAATAAAGTGTCATGTGAGAAGCCAAAGTTTATATTAACAAAAGAAAACCAGTCCTATAAAGTTATATAGTATATGATCCCAGTAATATTGGGGTAAAGGCAAAACTGTTGGAAAACATAAAAAGAAAAAAAAATGAATATCATGGCTCATTGAAGACATGGGGTAAAAAGGAATTACAGAGAACTTTCAAGACAATGAAATATATTGTATTTGTTATTAGAAGAGAGAATGTGTGTTTCTGTGTGTCCACAGACTACTTGACACTCAGAATAAATTCTAATGCAAATTATGAACCATGAACTTACAGTGATAATGATGTGACAACAAACTTTATCAATGGTCCCGAACGCATCCCTCAGGTAGGAGGTGTGGATGACAAAGGAGGCTATGCACTTGTGCAGGCAGGAGTTATGTGGAAAATCACTGTACTGAATAAAGAGCCAGAGACTGTTGTAATACAGATATAAAACAATGTGCACCCCATCTGTAATGCTCACTATGTTTTGATGGCATTGAACATGAAAAATGAAAAGCAGAGTATGATGTGAAAGTCACTGACTTTGAACTGAACAAATCGAAAGGGCACTTTTGAGCCTGCTGGTCCCCAGGGCGGACAGTCCTGGAAAGCTAAAGGTTATAGGTAGCCTTTGCTAAGAGCAATACAAGCAGCTTACTGGTTGGTCGGTTCTATTGATTCCAATCAGGAAGAGCAGTTCTGCCACAAACAGGCTGATACAGAGGTTCTTGTGAATGGTGTTACGGTCACTCTGGAGCCCACGGAAGAAGCAGAATGTGAAGATACAGATCAGGAGACAAACAAGGGACAGCAAGATGCCAACCCACGTGATCACATCCAGAAGAAGATCATGGACCGCATCACTGTGCTGGAGACACAAAAAAAGACTGTAAGTCGCTTATGTGTATGAGCGATAATCAGGAAGCAGGATTTTACGAAAACACTAAACATCTCCATACTCACAACAAATATAAAAAATGAATCATTTGGGATTTCTATTCCATAATTAAAGTTTTTGTTTTTCTTTTTTTTTTGCCACTAAGTAAAACACTTGGAGATTAAGGAGGGTCAATAAAATTCATTTGCTACATTCTTAGCACATATATTTCCACGCTATAAATAAGTGAAGATTAATGTGACTCTGGCCAAAGACTTCAAGGTAAAACTGTAGGTTTTTAACCTGCATTGCTTATTTGAAGTTTTTTTTTTTGTAAAATCAATTCCTGTTGTAGAATGCTCTATTTAAAACTATAAGATGCACATTTAGAAAATTAGTGCCTCGATTGCTTTTTCGAAGAACAGACTTTTATATGTGTGTGTGTGTATTTCACACATACATGAAATTTTTAAATACCTGTACTATAGACGATTCATCATAGTTTTCAAATTGAGTTCATAAAATATAAATTGCAATAAAAACCTTTAATTAATTCTGTTGAGTAACTATATGTGTACCACATATTTAGTGGAAAGCTCTGGGGTACTGACGTTATCCATGGGATTTATATTCACATTAGATTGCTTTCGAGTTCATAGTGACTTGTCAAAAGAGTAACCAGAGTTGAGAAATAAAATAAAAAAGTTGTGCATGGCCATTCACTTTTGTTTCTTGGGTTCTTAAAAAGCCATAACCAACTAGTTTTTACCTGTAAAGGAAAAGCAAAGCATTAAGTTTATGTAATTCTAGTCAACAAGTGAAAATTATTAGGCTGACTAACAGATAATTCTCAAAAATCTAACTTTTTTCCAATAAAGCAACCAACCAGAGGACCTACATGCTGTATCACCTAAGGAAAACTGCAAAGGACTAATCAAGGACATTAGATTGAACATGGTGCATTCTGAGTAGCCAGAGATCATTTGTAATTTCAACAAATACACTTTTTGTTGATGGTGATCATACAAATAGTTTTGTTAATACACGTGATTACCAGTACCATAGGAATCGAGAAACATCAGAAGCCCCCTGGAACTGAAGTAATAAAGAACTGTGAGCAACCCAACATGGATTCTAGGGGCAGAACTTGCGTCTTCTACAAGAGTAGTATGTGTTTGTAACCACTGAGCCATCTCTCTAGCTCTTCAAGCATATTTTACAAGGGAAACTACACAGTGTCTTCTACATTAAAACAGCCAGATTACAAATATTCGTATTAGTTATCATGCTTTCTATTTTATTTTAAATTTCAACGTGGTAGTGTGAAAAGCATGGATGCGAAAGTTGTTAGAATTGAGTCATTATCCCTCAGTCTGAATCATATGAATCACAGCATTTTCCTTCTGTCAGATGCAGTTACACCTTTGTTATTTCATGAAGATCTGCCCTAGAAGTGACAGTGAAATAGGTCTGAAATATTCCTGAGTCGGCTCTGTTTCTCAGGAAAAGCACAAATCATGGCAGAAAACTAGGTGAAGCTTTGCTTTAACGGCTTGGTTCTCCGAAGGGTATTACTAAAACAGCACTGGGTTTCTGATAGTTTAAATGACTTTTGTGGTTTGTGAGTGGCGAGTGATTGGTGCCGCCTGGCTCCCTCGACAGAGAGCTATTTGGTCTCCTCTTTTCCTCAAAAGAAAGAAACTGCGGAGATATCAGGCCCTGGTGTTCTGCACAGCAATCTCCCATGATGGGAAAATGGTAGGTACAATACCTTCTCAAATGTATCCAAAAGACCTAAAGCACTAACGAAAAATAGAGGAGGAAACTGAAAACTCCCGCTTTTGTTTGCCTGGGTAGTTGTATTATTAGAAATATATTTACTCGGTGCCTCTGTAGACCCTTCCAAAGCCCCATGCAGAGTGCTGAGAAAAGAATAACAGATTTCAAAATGTCAGCGACGAAAGTACATACGACTCAAACACAGAGCAATAAAGCCTGGTGATTAACTCACCCTTAGCATTGTCTACTGGGAAAACATCAACAGCCATCATCAACATGTATATGATACTAGGATAAGACACCCATATGATACAACTGAAAATTTTAATATTATCGGTATGATAAAAAAGAAAAGAGGCAACAGACAGTGAGTCTTTCTAAGAGATGTGACCATAAAAGCCTTGTTTTTTAACAGTTTGTCATAATAGTTCCAACGAGGTCCATCCTCAAAAATATATATAAATTAATTCTTTTTTTTAAAAAAAAAAGAACTCTTTCCAAGAGAGGGATCAGTGAAACAAAAGTGATAGTACAGTATTGAAGTGATAAGCAAACATCACACTGCAGCTTGGGGCTTGTGAGTACTATATAACTCAGGTTGTGTAACAAAGATTTTAATCCTTAGGGTACCTGGAGAATGAAGATGGCATTTATCTTCCTAACACCATAGCCCAACTTATAGTATATGGATTCTATTTATACAGTTAGATAAGCACTAAAGGGGATGCATTTAATGGAAAGCAATAGAAGGGAAAGATACTTGTAACTCATAGATAACTAACTCATGATGGGGTTATATCTGATGAACCCATTTTAAGTTTAAAATACTGTCAAGTTGTCATGTACCTATTTGAACAACCTAGTTTAGCAATAGAATACAATGTTGATTGTCGTTTACTCTGGTGAAACTGTGGCTGATGGGTGATGTGGCTTACCCTGCCAGGAAGCATGAGTAAGAATTATACCGCATGCATACAAGCAACATTATATGAACTCATTATATGAGTAGGTTAAATTTAGGAATATAAATGTATGATTTTATTATGAATACCAAGCATCATTGTAAGTAAATGACACAATCTCATGTATAAATCCTTCCTTATACAAAAATAAGTAAGTGGGAAACAAAGACGTAGATGAGCAACTTGCTGTAAAGAATGCTTAGACTTCTAAAACATATTAACATGACAGGCAAAGAAAATACCTGAAGGGAATCATCTTCCTACGAGATGACTGAGAGAAAATCTTAGGAGTCTGATAGAATACTCAAGAAGATAGAGTTTCAGTACCTTCAAAGATCCTCTCATCACTTGTTAAAAATTTTTACACAAACAGCATTTTCCTCCTTTCTCTGAAGTTTCTGTTCATATGTGAAGTGACAGATAATTTTGGAAGAGCTACAGAGAATTTCTGATATTTCCTTTATTTTGATCTCACCCAATCTTCTTTTACATGTCACTAAGGAAAGCTCAGGGAGAATAAAGGGGGGAGAGAGCTGAACAAAGTCTTGTGAATAGCGCACTGGCCATGTAAAACTAAACACCTCAACAAGTGCAAACAAATAAATAAAATAAGTCCATGCTCATGAAATGGGGAAGTGAGACCTTTGCTTCATGGCTTTAAAAATAATTCAGTCTGGAAAGCTATAATACTCCATGGGAATGTGTTGAAATTGTCAACATTATTTAAAAAGCAAGCTCACAACACAATATATAGATTTCTAAATATTCTTCACTGGGACCACACAACTGTTCCTCGATGAGTAACACACTGAATGAATTAATTTTGATCCTTTCCACTGTCTTCTTTATAAAAACATTTTTGGGAACTGTATTTCCTGGGTCATTCTATTGCAACTATGAACTTGACGACAGTCAGTATTAAGAGTTCATTTAACTTTCTACATACTATTGCACTTTTGTCTTATAAAACTACCTTTTAAAACTATTTTGTTCTGAAATATTCAGAGTACTACTAAAATGTGGATTTTTTTCTCATAAGAGAGGAGATTGCCTTTACAATGTCTGTATCATGAGATAAAACATGGCTTAGAACTGTAGGCTTCACTGAAGCCCATAGAATTGAAAAAAAAAAAAAGTCTATTTGCTGATAAATGTAGTGTAGAGTCAGTTAAAAAAAAAAAAGTCCCTGGAATTTCTCTAAATCTTAGCAACCAGGTCACCAACCACGAAGGTCACCTCCCAGGCTTATGGGAGGTAAAGGGCTCATTGGTCTGAAACAATGGTTTCTTCTGTAGAACAAGATGTAAATCACAGTTGAGTAACCTAGTGAGAAGGACATGTGGGTGTTCTTTCCCACTTCTTTAGAGCAAATTAACCAAATAAATTCACTGCGATTTTTATATTCTTATCTACAAATCAATATTAATATTTTCAAGCTTTCATCTCCAAAGAAAAACACTAGCAAGTTAGAGGTTAAGAAAGCATTCACATCCAACTGTCTTTCATTTTTAATAAAACTCAGCAAATTCTCTTCACTTTAAAGAAAGACGACTCCACGCTTTGATGTATTTGAAAGTTTCTTACTGTGAATTTAAAAAAAGAAGAAAAAGAAAGCTCATCATGTTTGGTGAAGCAGACTCACAGCTACCGTAACAAAGGAACAGACGAAGAGGAAATACTTTTAGAAATGGGAATTTCAAAGTTCATTTCTCTCACTATGTCTTGCTAGTGTACAAGCAAGTGGCATGGTGACCAGCTTCCTAGTTTTGCTCAGCACTGCCCTAGTTCTAACACTACATTTCTGCATCCTAATAAATTCTTCATTGGATCATGAACAGCCTCGGATTTCAGAAATGAGGGCCAAAGTTTGACAATTGCAACATTGCTGTGACAACCCAGAAGATAGAGGCTTAATACCATTTTCAGAGCTATGTGGAGAAAGCTTTGATGACTCCTCCTTCGAGGCTCAGGTTGATTTCTCTCTGATAATTAGTACAGGTGATCATGACTAAAATCGTGATACCATGTAGTCTGCATCTCCCTGGGTGAATGATGTAAGAGCAAATGTAGTAAATAGTGACACGGCATTCTTCTTTGCATTTGCTTGTGAATCAGCTGCTGTGTTTTGTGTCAAGATTGTACTACTTTAGTTTTGGTGAATAGTATGAATGTTTCTTCCAACAGTTTCATTAAGAAAAATGAGTGATCATATTACCCAAGCTCACATGACTGACTGTCCTGTAAAAACAA